TGTCTCATTCACTACTATATCCCTAATATATAATTCATGGTACAACATGGACACTCAACAAGTATTTGTGGAATGAATGAATAGAATGAATGATTGCACAAACGACTGACTGAATGAATATTTCTTTCTCCTTTCGTTATCAAGCATATGCTCGCTACTACGCTTGGGTTACACCAATTTCCACACAGGTGCATAAGTCCTTGGCATGCAGAGCCAGTGCTGTGACCTGACCACGTGATCCTTTGCATTAAACCATCCACACTCCATGTGAGTTACACTTGCCATTCCCCTAGGCCTTGACGAAACCTCGTAAGTCATATTTTCCTGCTTGTGTTAAAATTTCAGGCTTACTTCATTCTTGGAAAGCTGTACGGCAACGGCAGGAGAGGTGTTGCAGTCTAGAAACATGAATGCTATCAGCTTTGCTTGCAGAGTGGTCCTCATTAAATTATGTAACCTCTGAGCCTCCATTTTCTCATCTGTAAAATGGGAAAAAACAATACTTTCCTCTCAGGGTGGTCTTCAGGATCATCAAAAAATAGCATACATTATTATAATTTTTCCAGCTGTGTATTGGTGACATAACAACCCAAAATAAAAACACCAATTGTTGTTAACAGTAATGTCATGCTTACTATATGCAAGGTACTATTCTAAGTACTGTCTTGTTCAATCCTCACAAAAAGTGCTATTATCATCCCCATTTTGTAGATGAGGAAACTGAGGCTCAGAGTGCTTAAGTAATTTGCCCAGGGTGCCACAACTAGTAAATGGTGAAACTAGTATTCAAACCTGCAAACACTCTCGAGTTGAAATTCGCTCTAAATAGGAAATAACAATGGAGACCATGATGTAGTGATTTATACATCATTTAAAGAGCTTCTATTGAAGATGGAAGTTTCACCTACATTCAAACTGCTAAATTTGACAACTTTCTTCCTCTGGCTTAGACTCCCACTTGGCTAATGCGTGACAAAGTGCAAACCCTACCAGGGCACTCCTTTGGCCAAGAAACTGATGGCAGCTAGGGCCTGGCCCTTGCTCTTCCATCATCCAAACTGCTCAGAGCCCAGGGTCAAGAATCACTACCCCTCTGGAGAGCAAGAGTGGTCAGTGGTCACCAAGCCTCTCCTCTTGTCTGAAGACTTTGGGCTGGCTGTGGTTTGGATGAACACTTGAATCATTCTAGACAAAAATGTTTCACAAGCCTCCATGGATGTATGCTACCATGTGCTTGGATGATCAAGTAAAGAGTCGGCCTCTCCTGTTTTGTAGACTTCTGGGGCACCACGCCATGTTGTCACTGGAATTTTCCGAGTTCTTGAGTAAGGAAATTCAATATACATATCCAAGGTTCTTTGGACTATAAGCCTTCAGGATGACGGCTTAGATCTCTGTGAGCCTGTGTGATGGCTTCCTTGGCTATTCACTTGTGAGAGTGTTAAATAGGCTCTGAAGGGGATTTGAAGCTGGAATAAGGAAACGCTATAACCAAAGGGAGAAAGTAATGAGAAGCTGAAAAGATTTGACCATAACAAATTGCAGGATCAAGCGAGCACTTCCAGGACCGAGCTCCTCATTGTTGATGGAGAATCAGCTTATGCCTCCCATCATTGCTCTGGCCGAGTCATAAACATCATTAGGGCTCCAACCAGAAGACTTTTATAGCCAGCTCACAGTCTATTCCTAAACTGTCTCTCCAACTGCTGATTACAGTTGTACCCTCCATTCTGAAGTTTAATTTTTCAGAAGATGGAAGTGTTGTCCTCATACCTTAGAAACAATGGCTTAAACACTGCGAAAATGTTACCAAGGAGAGACAGCAATTATCTTCATTTTCACGTGGCTTACAATTTGCCCCCATGCCTGTCATTAAGACAAGCAAACAAATTAGCTTTTCCAAATGTCTTTGAGTCCTTACATCCGTTCTCTTACAAGGAAAATGAATCAGGCCTTTCTCTAGACTCTCTTTTTGATATCGGGATTAATGTACTTGAACTGTGGGAGAAAGCGGTGCTCTGGTCAAGCCAGGTCCAGATGAACTTGCCCTCAGCCTTCCAGGGAGGACCACAGAAGCTTCAATCAGTGTAGCACTGAGGGGTCAGGAGGCATTTGGGACAGCCCTTGCCACTGCTTTGTTTTTGCTTGTCTTTATCCCTCACTAAACATTGATCCCCCCTAGAGAACTGAGCTGGATTAAAATCAAATTGATTCTCTCAAGGGAGTCCACATGACCTCTCCTAGGAAGACTTTGCCAAGGCCCTCTCTCTGCTTCTTCTCACTTCTTTTTGCTGTACTTGCTCCTGGTCTGTCTCCTTCCAGCCCCAAAGCTCTGGGAGGGCAGGGAAATCTCTTCACCACCAGAGCTCCAGGGTCCTCACCACATGACTGTACCCTGAGCACATCAGTTTCTTTTTCAGTGAGAAACAGGGCCACATGTACTGAGAGCTTTTTAAAAAGCATTTATTGCTGATTTTGTGGTTATTACTGAAAATCTAGAAAACACAGGAAAGAACAAAAAGAAAAAAGTTGTCACTCACAATTATTATGGCATATTTCTTTGCAGGATTTCTTTCTGTCTCTGTAAAATCTGATAGGCTGTTTTCCTTGCTTAATGTAGTATCATGAACGTTTTCTTGCACTTTTTGTTTCTATATCTATTGAGCACCTAGTATGTAGCAGGGACTGTGCTGGGCCCTGTGGATGATGAGCTGGGCTTAGAATGGTACTTCCTAGAATGGGCAGAGTGGTACTTCCTTCTGAGACAGAGAAGTACAGGGCATATAATTAAGGCAGAAGAACACCACCTTCAAGTTTCAATGTTGTGGAGAATGAGCTTGAGGCTAGCAAGTGCAGCCAAAAGGGGCACCATAGCAGAAAGTCACAACCAGATCTAGTGTCTCATAACGACCTCACCAGAAATGCTTACTTTATACAATAGGAGAATTTCCAGGATTTGTTGGAATTTCCAGAAAAAAATTTTTGAATGGGGCCATTCCCTAAGCAGTCTTTCTATTAAAGACATTGGTATGTTAAAAGTTAGGATTGTAATGAATTCTTTGGGCCCTGCTGTCAGCCAATCAGAATGAACTCAGGGAGTGGTGTTGAAGCGCAGTCTGGAGGTGCCCACCAGGTGCACCATGACATTGGCCCCTTCTTTAACTTATTACAAGGAGTTCTGGGAAGTCCCAGGGAGAGGCTGGGAAGCCAGGGCAGTAGTGGGGACACTCAGGAGCTCACGGACACAACTGTCACCAACTGACACCATGGTGTTTCAATGTTTTAAGAAACGTAACACTGTTCAAGGGTATCCTGACAACCAGACCCGCCGGAAGAGCAGCTGCTTTTCTCAAGTCTCTAACACGCGCTCTTAGATGTCAGCTAGCCTGCTGCCTCTTACACAAGTGCCATAGTTTGCCAGCCTTTGAACTTGAGCTGAAGGCAGTGTGATTTGGGGCAGACACCAGGGAGAGGGTTTCAGAGCCTGCCCACGGAGGGCTCTGCTGCCCTTCTTCCTAAAACACCACCTGGAAAATTCACTCCTACCCGGGCTCACACAGAGTGGTCACTCCTCTGTTCATGTTAGCTCAACAAGGCTGTGGTCTTCAGAACATCACATAGCTCCAGGGTGGAGAAAGGCATCTCCCAGAGTGAAGAACGTGCACAGGAGGGGCTCAAGTCATGAACATCTGTCAGCAGCAATGGCCAGCATCTCCCAGGCGGCCTCCCCTGCAGACTAGCCAGCTTCAAAGTCCCATTCCAGGACCCATTTTTTCTGCTTAAATGCTGGGACAATGTTGTCAGTCACCTGGAGCAAGAGCTAGGGCACTCTCCCCAAATCTCAGCTTCCCTACTGATTCGGGTAAGGGAAAACTGGGGCTGAAAGACAGAAGTTTCCAATCAAGCTATCAATTATTGAGCACGGGATTATGGGGGCAGACCTGAGCTAGGGGCTTCACACGAATGATGTCCTGTAATCTTCACAGCACCTTATGAGGTAAGTAGCTGTAATCCCCATGTTGCAGATGATAAAAATAGAGCTTTCTAATATGTTAAGGAATTCTCTGCATGCTGAAGGGCTTGGAGTATAACTTGGTTAAGGTTGCACAGCTATTAAGCAGCAAAGCTGGGGTTTGAACCCAGGCATGCAAACCATCACCCATGCTCTGTTAGAGGCACACAGGGAGCAGGCCAAGGAGGAATGTGGCAGGGCCAGGACACGTGCACTGAGTGGAAGGACAAAAGCTCTGGGAAGCAGCACTGAGAGCAAATCTTTCCCAACCCTCACTACACTCCCAAGGTACTTTTCTTCCAACTCTCCCAGAGATACACCAACACAGTGGTCCTTGGAGTTCCATAATGACAGTTGTTGGTAATGACTAGCCACCTCTTTATAGTTTCAATGTAAACTTGGAAGATGTGCTTAGATGCTTTCAAAATGGTTGAAAGAGAACAGGGGACGTCTAGCTAGGAGAAGAGGAGGTGAATGAGAGAGAGATGGCGTGTGACCTTGCGTGCTAGTAGCCAGTCCTTCTTTGGTACAGCAGCACACGGCGCTCAGGTCAGCTGTTGACAGCCTCCTGCGGTGGGGCTTTCAGACAGAAGGACAAGTAGGGAGATCAGCATGCATAGCCGGCAGGGGGGCAGGGGTTCAGATTGCTCTCTGCCAGACACTGGCTTTGCAATCTTCAGCCAGTTTCTTAGCTTTTCTGCATCTCATTTTCCTCATCTGTAAAAAGGTCCTACCTCTTAGAGCTGTTGTGAATATTAAATAAGATAAAGTTTACAAAGTGCTTAGCATGGCATCTGGCACAAAGTAAATCCCTTAATAAAGATGGTTATTAACATGAAATTGCCTTCTTATGAATTATTTTATCACAAATTTATGGAATAATTTCTTTATTGCAAATTTAAGGACTTTAAAAATCCTAACTTTAGAAAAGACAAAGAAAGAAAAGAGGAGGAACAAATTGTAATATTGTCTAACTTTGCTTTTACAGGAGACATGGAAATTTACGCTAGAGAAGGCAAGACAGATTGTCAAGAAATCCCCGACTCTGGTAAGCAATCGATGAGTGGAATCCTTGGCACGTTCCTCTCCCTGACCCCTGCTCTCACAGTCTAGAGGCCACAGGCTACTCCAGATACAAGCCCACTGTGTAACATAGTTAAATTGGGACTGAAGTAGAATCGTGAGCTGCTTCCCCCTTTTCTCCTCCCTTCTGTCTTCAGCAGCGTTTCCCAACCTCGGCACTACTGACACTTTGGGCTGGATAATTCTTGATTGTGGGGGCCGTCCTGTGCATTGTAGGATGTTCAGCAGCATCCCTGTCCTCTACCCACTAGATGCCAGCAGCACAATCCACTCCTCCCTGGTCATGACAACCAAAAATGTCTCCTGACGTTGTCAAATGTCCCCTGATATTCACAGTTGAGATCTGCTGCTCTCCAGCAGACCATTTTTAAAGAGGCTGTTCCTCCACTTTCAGAACATACGACTTTAGGCTGAGCCTCAGTTTTCCTGTCAGTAAGATAGGGACCATAATAGCATTCCTTTCCCAAAGCATGGATGTGAGGACTAATAGAGATGATGTGTGTGAAGTGCCTGTATCATGCCTGGGATTTATCAAGCTCTCAATAAATGCTAGCTAAACTCATCACCATTATTATTCCTCTCCCCTAATTTGTCCTCTTTGTAATAATAATTTTATTCAACAGGTAGAATGTTCAGTTCAAGTCAGTTATCATGGAGTCAAGTATTTGACTTAGGCACTGGTTACAAATCAGCCCAATGTTAAGGGAAACAGAAAAGTAGACCTTTAGGGACCGGCCTGGTGGTGCAGCAATTAAGTTCACACGTTCTGCTTTGGTGGCCCAGGTTCGCCAATTTGGATCCTGTGTGCGGACCTACACACCTCTTGTCAAGCCACGCTGTGGTAGGTGGCCCACATATAAAGTAGAGGAAGATGGGCATGGATGTTAGCTCAGGGCCAGTCTTCCTCAGCAAAAAAGAGGAGGATTGGTGACAGATGTTAGCTCAGGGCTAATCTTCCTCAAAAAAAAAAGAAAAGAAAACGAAAAGTAGACCTTTAAAAGACAGAGGCTCCCTCGTTGCTAAGGTCCTGGCAGAAAGGAAGCATTCTTCAGAGATGAGAGGGTGAGGACCTCATCCTTGGCTTCTCCCTGCTGGCCCGGCTCATCACTTACCCTGATGCAATACATTTAAGGTGGTATTGATTTGGCAACACAGAAATAAAGGGGAGGAAAATCCCTCAGGGCTTGGCTTGCCAGATTTAGCAAATAAAAATAGAGGACATCCAATTAAATTTGAATTTCAAATATACAAGAAATAATTTTTTCATGTAAGTATGTCCAGTGCAATATTTTATCGGGTAATCCTGTTCGGGGAGGCATATGGATTTTGACATACAAAGCTGATACATGTGGAATGGCAGTGTGCGGGCATTTGCACACAATCGATTAATCAATCACAATGTCTGCATGGCCAATCATTATTTAATTCAGTGAATAATTACAGGCCCACCATAGCCGGTTCAGCTAATCTGCTTTAGTTGTTGAACAAGAAATTGAAACAGCACGGGAAACCCTTGACCACCACTGTCAGAACACTAAACAGAACTGGAGAATAATACAATTCTTCTTTTACTCTTCTCAATATGCATCTAAAAACTTATTCTCAGGGCATTGTTTATTTCACTAGCACAAACTGCCTTGGCATTAACTCAAAGGCTCATTAGAATTTTACAATTTTTCATTTCTGTCACCAAAATTGCTAGCATAATTCATGGGGCAGGATTCCAAAATTCCTTTTGGCTTCTCACAAGGAATTATTGGAATCCTGCCCCATGAATTATGCTTGCAATTCTGGGTGAGAAACCAAAAAAATAATTATGCCGAACAATTCAACAATAAAAAAACTCTTCAAAAACCTCTTCCAATTTATTTACTCTCCAGATTAAAGCTATCAAAGAAAAAAAATCATCAAAAAATGCAAATAAGCATCTCTGGAAAACTGTCCAGAGGATATTGGCTGCAATTAATCCACTGTGATGGTGGATTGGACGCAGACCTGGCGGATGCAGAGAGAAACCCACAGTAGGTTGTGTATTATTTCAGCACAGCCTGTCAGACTGCAAGAATCCTGACTGGGGAAAAGTTAAGTATTGTGAAGGGAGTCAAGTGTCCCAGAGAAGATCTTCACCTCAGTGAGGCCCTGAAAAGCTCCTCACGGGGACTTTTCACAGATTCAGCAGAGCACCGAGCATCTAAGGGTTTAGAGTATCTGAGGATGGAATCAATTTATTTAATTCTCACAAAAACCTCTACAAAGTAGAGAGTACATTTTTGTTATCAACCCCGTTCTACAGATGAGAGGACTAAGGACAGACAGATTAAGTAATTCACTCACTCCACATAGCTAGTAAGTGAGAAACCCATCATTTAAAGCCAGATCTAGCTACTTCCAAGTTCCTACCCTTTCCACCATGCCAGAGCCCTTGGCCAGACCTCCTCAGCACTAAATTTCAGGAAGCACCCTTCACATCACAGGCCATGTGGATATTAGAATTATGCAGTGTACAACTTGTGAAGCTGTACATGATGGCCCTGACTGCAAACCTACCTACTCAATAGAAGTGTCTGAGAAGCCTTTGAAAATTGCTGCTGTTCAAGTACTGCCCCAGTCCAATTAAATCCAAGTAAAATAACACAGAGCAAGGGTTGAAAAGCACTTCACCACGCAGAAATTCAGTTTCAGGTTGGCCGTATACAGAAGAGTGGTTACTCTGCCCATTTGACTCTCTATTTACCCCACTCACCACATTTTCCTTTATCAACCCCCACTTGTTGTTCTGTGTTCATTTAACATCCTGGTGTGTGGGAAGCTCAGGATGCAAGCAGAAGCTGGCTAAATAGATTGCAAAGTGAAGATGCTGCGTGACTCTTGTGCCCAGGGACAGCCAGATTTGAGACTTTCATTTTAGAAGGGATTACATGCAGCCAGATGCGATATTTTAAATCCATTGCTGAGTAAATAACAGCCCACATTTTGCCTCTGTCTAGCAAAGCTCAAATTGAAAGGAAGGGCTGGCGAGCACACAAACAAGGACTTCTGCTATGTGGGTCTACGTCCATCTTAGTTCTCTTTGCAAGTAAGTTGTAAGAATAGGATAGTCTTTCCCATATTACATGATGAAAAGACCAAATAATCAAAACCTCTGTCTAAACAGGAGGAGTTCTGGGGGATGAAGCAACATCAAGCTATTGCCCACATTGCAGCCCCAATTTCTGGGGTCATGGAATGCCAAAGACAGTTGCAGCCTTCAGGCTGAATTTTGACAGCAAACAGCTATGCAATTATAACACTTTATTCTGGTGTCCCTCTTGTGTAGTCATTATAAAGCCATCCACGTAAGTTTTCAAAGTATTGGTTATCATCAATGCTAAAACCTCCATTGCCTTTAGGTTAATTAGACCAAGGCCTTTAGACTAATGTAAATCTTAAAAGACGTAGCTCAAACATTCAAATGTAACCTGACTTTGGAGTCTGGGTCTCAGAATGTGTCTGTATTTCCAAATGGCCACCAATGCTATGGTGTGATTTCACACTGGTGTTTGTTTTACACTGTGTCTACACGGATCTCAATCGATTACCAGCTCTCTGGACTCAGCCTGGCAAACACCCCTCCTTTCCCCACCATCCCCCTCCTCCCACCTTACAGCAGTGGTTCCCAGCCAATGGCAATTTTGTCCTCCCCCACCTCCTCCCTAGGGACATTTGGCCATGTCTGGAGACATTCCTGTCCTGCTGGCACCCAGTGGGTAGACACCAGATATGCTGCTAAACATCCTACAGTGTACGGCACAACCCCACAACAAAGAACTATTTAGGCCAAAATGACAAGAATGTGAAGGTTAGAAACCCCAGGATCACGCATCAGGATCTCTAGCTGCCAAAGATCTCTCTGCCCATCTTGTCTGCTCCTGTCCCCCCTCCCCCCACCCACCCGAGATATCTTTGAAATACAAATGTGATCACTCTGCTTAACACTCATCCCCACTGCCCTCAGGATGATATGTAGCGTGGCATCCTAGGTTTGTCAGGATGTCTCCTTCCTTCTATGATTCACCTCATTGTCGCAGTTCCCTATGCTCCAGCCAGGTCAGGTGGTCTCCCAAGGTGCCAGACCTGCTCATACCTCCACAGCACTGTGTGGGGTGCTCCCTCTGCCAGGAGCGGTACTTCTCTGGCTTTGGCGTGCACTCCAGCAACGTGGGACCTTGTTAAAACATAGATGCTGACTCAGCAAGTCTGCTGTGGAGCCTGAAACTTTGTATTTCTAGCAGTTCCCAGGCAGCATCAGTGTTCCTAGTTTGTGATCACACTTTCAGCAGCTAGAACCCAGAACAGCAGTTCTCAAACCTTAGTGGGCATCAGGATACCCTAGAGGCTATGAACACACAGATTCCCAGGACCGACCCCAGGCTTTCTGATTCAGTAGGTAGGGGTGGGGCCCACAGATTGCCTCTGTAGTAAGTTTGTGGACTGCACTGGAGTGGCAAAGCCTACAGCATCTGTCTTTTCCTCCCCACCTGACTCCTTTGTACCTGACTTCTGGGTCATCTCCTACCTCCTCCTCCGGGCTCCTAGACAGCTCTGCTAATGCCTGGACCACTGTACACCTCACAGAACGTGCTAAGAGCTGGGATATCCACTCCCACCCTCCACTAGACCATAAGATCCGTGAGGACAAGGACAGCATCTTCTGTCTTCACGTCTTGTGTATAGATGAGGGTACTGGTCAGGATTGTTCCTCTAATCCTACAAAATTGGGCAAATATCATGAAGATCCTTCAAGGACTCTTTTATAGCCTAAAAACATTGCCAATTCTCCTTTGCCAGGGTCAAAATATCTGCAACGCCCTGAATACAATCATAGCCATCTGAAGGACTCTCTGGGCTGGCAGCAATCCACTGCATCTCTCCCTTCGTTCATAAATGCTGATTCCTTTTTCTACCCTGTTGTCTTCTTTTTGTTTCATCTGAGGAAAGCATCATGGAAATCACAATCTTTCTAAAAGCACTGCTTACTAAAAAGCCAAGGCTTTTCATTTCTCACACAGCTAGAGTCTTACGGAAACTGCCATCTGAAATCCCTTTGCTCATGAAGCTGGAGGAGCTTGATCTGCGCCTCTTCCCCAGGGAAGGGCTCTTCCTTCTTCCTTCTTCCCAAGCCCTGGTCCTGTCTCTCCCAAGAGTCTCTTGTTTACCTCATAATAGAAGGGAATTATTTTATTTGAAAATGTTCTTTACTTTCAAATCTTTTTTCAAAGCACTTGGGTAGAATGAGGAAGAAGAATTTTTTTGTCCAAGTAGAACAGACAAAGGTGGGCCAGACCCTTTTGGGAAGAGATGGAGAGTAGGTGAGGTGGGAATAGCTGGCAGGGTGAAGAGGAAGGGGGTGCTTCGGCTGAGGAAGCAGCAGGAACAAAGGCACAGAGGTGGAGTGAATATGGAGAGAGAGGACAGAACAAGAGGTAATTTACTTACGTAAAATGGCCCGCATTCTGGATGAAGGAGGATCCAGAAATCCAGATTATGGAGCCAATGGGAGAGGAAGGGCCTCTAGAAGTTGGGGGACCATTCCTTGCACTAAACCACCCTTTCTGTTATTTTTTTCTCTCCAGAAATATTCCAGAAGTGATTCCAATATCTGTTCCCTCCCATTTTTGGCCAAGATCTGTGAGATGATTAAATCGTATGTATACTATTTCCACCTTCCTGACCACTGGCATAGGACAGCATCTTTGGTTTCCCTGTTTTCCAATGACTAAAGTGTTCTTCAGACTTAAAAGACATCTTCCAGGAAATGAAAGTGTTTCTTACTCACAACTTACACAGACACTAAAAGATAATTAGCTCTGAAAAAAATCAATTTGGAAATATACTGAATACCAGTATCTTTGAAACTCAAAGCCTGACTTATCCCCCAGGCTGGAACGCAGCCTGCCAGAGACACTTCTGAGCAGCTTGGTGCCCCTTGCCCCTCACTTAGAAACAGCGCCCCCTGGCTGTGTGAGGTACAGACGAGGGTAGCAACTCATCATGGCAGGGACTCTTTGAGCATCTTTACTGCCAAGCACTCAGGAGGCTGAAAAGGGACCATTTTTTCACAAAGCCCAATCTAGTACCAAAAAAAATCTGGCTCAGATCTGTAGGAACAGGATTCCGAATTCAGAGACGCTCTCTAGAATTCCCCAGCCCTCCTGTCTCAGGTTAAAATCCCATACTCCAGCTCCACTTTGAGTAGAGGTTATGCTGGATGTCAGAGTAATGGCTGTCAAAACATTAAGAGACGGAACGGTGTCCTGAGGGGAACATTGGACTATGAGGCAAAATAGCATAGTTTCTACCTTCCACTCAGCTGCTGCCCATATGACTACTGCTGCTGCTGCCGGGGCATATATGGACGCTGTTCCAGGTGCCAGATGCTGGACTTTCAATACAGTTCCACATTTAGTTCTCACAACAGCTCCATGAAGTAGGGATTATTATTATTATTCCCATTTCATAGAGAAGGAAACTGAGGCTTAAAGAAGTAACTTCTCCCAGCCACTGGGGACCCAAGACACACTCCAGGTGTATTGAATCCAAAACGTACTTTGGGAACATCCATATTCTTCACTCCTGTGCAAGGCTGCTTCTCGAGCCAATTTTGAGAACTTGATCCACTGAACGTCTCTGAGCGTCATTTTTCCCGTACCTAAACTTAAGGCGTAGACTAAATTATGGCTGCACCTCAGAATCATTTGGGAAGTTTTTAAAATGCAGACACCTTGGTCTGAGACCTGGAGGGAGGGCACCGCATTCTCCTACGCTCCTGATTGTCTACGTCCTCCCAGGCGCTCATGTTCTCATTCATGTGCAAGACTGAGGATGCTGCAGGTACAGCTGATGCTTTGATGACTCGAAATAATGCTCTTTGGCTGTGAGACATTCATGTTGACCACACCATCCGTCCTGGCCCCTGCTCCTTTTCTTCCTGCTCTCCTGCGGGCAGTTCCTATTTCTTGAGCCCATTCCAGTCTGGCCTGGCTCTCAACATAAGGGCTTAGATGTGAGAACGCCCAGAGGTGAGAGTCGGGTTGAACCTCTGGACTGAGAGGCTATATTCGTTTTTTAGGGCTGCTGTAATAAAATACCACACACTGAGGGGCTTGGAACAACAGAAATGTATTCTCTCCCAGTTCTGGAGCGTAGAAGTCTGAAAGCAAGGTGCTGGCAGGGTCTATCTGAGACTATGCTCCCTCTGAGACCCTGAGTCTTCCTCACTCTTAGCTTCTGGTGGTGGCTGTCAATTCTTGGCCTTCCTTGGCTTGTAGCCACGTCGCTCCAGTCTCTGCATCTGTCTTCATACGTGGCCGTCCTCCCTATGTGCCTGTCTTTTCCTTTTATAAGGACATTGGTCATATTGGATTCGTGCCCGCTCTAATGACCTCATCTTAACTTGATAACATCTGCAAATAAAGTCACAGTCACAGGGACCAGGTGTTAGAACTTCAACATATCTTTTTGGTGAACACCATTCAACCCATAAGAGAGGCACTTTTCCCGCTTTCTGCCATCCTTCGTCTCACGAGCTTTGCAGGAGCTGAATCCACTGAACAGCTCCTGTCTGCTGTGGAAGCATCTTGGGAGAGGAGGAGGTTATGCTTCTGACCCACATTCAGAGCCTCTTAGGGACCCAAGAGTTTAGCAACTTTTCCTGATTCATCTGCCCGCGTGAGCTTCTGCAAGCCAGCTGTGCAAAGTGCTGGCCTGGGTCCCAGAAACAGTATCCACACCACTTTTCATGAATAGGGGTGGATGCCGAGAGCATCAGGACACGGGGCGGGGAGGGGAGAGATCCGACATGAAGGAAGATGCTGGGAGGCTGAGGTGCAGCCAGCTCCCCAGACCCCAATCATTTCATCATGCCCGGCTCTTGTTGAATTGAGACCCCTGTCCCCTCCTTACTGAAAGCATCATTTTCTATGTCAAACGTGGGCCAGCTGGACCCAAAGTGACAGCTCTTCAATTGAACTACCTTTGAAAACCTGAATTCAAGAGCATCTTGGGCCAGAGATTTTCCTGGCCCAATTTAAAAGGGACATTCTTCTTTTATGAAAAAGCAGAAGCAGAGTGTTTTTCTTCTTTGTAAAAATCATTGTACTTCGAGTATAATTTGCAGCAGGTCACAATCTAGTCAGTGCTTTATGGTTTACAAAGAACATTTAAATGCAGCCTCATTTATTCTTCAAAACAAGCTGCGGCTCCATAATAATAACGATAACGAAAAGTTATCTAGTGCTGTCTATGCTCCAGGAACTTGTGTAAGTGCAAGCCTGTAAGGCAGACACCATTATTGTCTCCTTCCTAAAGAGATAAAGCCATTTGCCCAAGATCACAGAGCTGGTCATGGATAAATCTGACACTTGAGGGGCTGGCCGGGTGGCACAGTGGTTAAGTTCGCATGCTCTGCTTCTGCAGCCCGGGGTTCACAGGTTCAGATCTTGGGTGCAGACCTACACACCACACACCAAGCTATGCTGTGCTGGTGCCCCACATACAAAATAGAGGAAGATTGGCACCGATGTTCACTTGGGGACAATCTTCCTCAAGCGAAAAAAAGAGAGAGAGAGGAAGATTGGCAACAGATGTTAGCTCAGGGCCAGTCTTCTTCACCAAAAAAAATAATAATAATAATAATCTGACATTTGAACCCAACAGCCTGATTCCAAAGGCCACTACCTTGTCTGTCCCTTAACTCTTACTCCACTTTTAGATAAGCAAATAAGTTCTAACACATTAAATGCCTGACCCACTAGCACAGTCGGCAGGTGGCAGGGGTGAGATCTGCGTGTCTTCTGTTACACAATCCTTCAATAAAATCCCCTCCAGCAGGAGTGCCTTTCCTGCTCTGTGCCTCTCCCTGCCCTCATCCTGTTTGGTCTAATGCCTTCAATATACATTAGAGGTGTCTCCACCCACCCCTACACCCCCTGGCCCCACTCCCAGCCTAAGTTCAGTCACTCGGCCAGCCCGCCTGGGGACTCCGGGTTCACTGGTCCCTGCCCCTGCTCCTGCTCCTCTAAGGCTGCCTCCCCATCAGTCTCCCACACCGACCAGCGGCCCTTGGAGAGGGAGACATCATTTCTTAGTAAATTCTTTATCCCTGGTACCTACCACAGCGCTTAGCCGTAGGGGAACTTAGTGAAGAAATGAGGGAATAAAGAAAGAAAAAAGCACTACTTTGCTAGGAAAAAAAAAATGTGTAAAATACCAGACTACTGCTATGGGGCAATCAAGTTTGTTGGTGTTGTCTTGTTTTGATCAAAATCCACAGTGCTTACCCTCCGTTACTTTCGACTGTAACAGTGGTAAGTCAGGAGGCTCCTCTCTTAATAATCTAGTCTTCCAATAGAGTATTTAACTTAGTTTCTATGTGCATAAACCCACATAGTATTATTTCACATAAATGTATATGGACTATCCAATTTTATGTTAATTGTGCTTTTAATTCATTATTATTTTTTCGTTTTTCACTTGTTCCTTCTTTCCCATGCCCTGCTCCTTCCACCCACGTCGGTCCTGGTCCCCACCACCAAGGTGAGCCAGGTCAACACATCAGGGTGTAAACTTCCATGGTTTTCTCTGCTCTCATTTCATCTTACAGAGATGCATATAACACACCCACTTATGTACAAAACAGACCTGCTCAGGGCCGGCCCCATGGCCGAGTGGTTAAAATTCTGCATGCTCCACTTTGGCAGCCTCAGTTCGCGGGTTCAAATCCTGGGTGCAGACCTACTCCACTTATCAGCCATGCTGTGGAGGTATCCCGCATACAAAAAATAGAGGAGGATTGGCACAGATGTTAGCTCAGGGCTAAATTTTCTCACACACACACAAAAAAAATACCACAGACCTGCTCCCCCCCCCCCCCCGTACCCCCCCCCCCCGGGGTGCTTCCTGGGACTCAGATGTGAGGACGTTATGCATGGAAACTTTATTCTCCCTAGTTTTCTTTTGTAATGCCCCAGTTTCACGAAGTAATTTTAGGGAGTTTGAACTTGAATAGCTCACTATTATGTAATGAATAGCATCCAGCTACAATTACAATTGCTTGCGGGGTCAAGCCTGCTAGCCCAGCATCTGGCAGCTACAGAGCAGCGGCGGCCAGCAAGTGATTAGCTGCTCCAGCCGACATGGTAACTGGATAGAAAATTGTGTGGCTAGAAACCTGCAAATCTGAAGACAGTCCATGGACCAGATTTGGGATGTCTCCAGAAACTAAAATGTCGTAAGAGCAGACACCCGACTCCTGTTCACACAACCCTAGAAAGCACCCTTGGAATAACTGCTACCGTTGCACATAATAACAAAAAGAGCTAATGTTTCACGAGTGCTTACCATGTGCTTGGCGCAGGTCTTCGTGCTTCACGGTAGCACCTCATTTACTCTTTGCAACAGCCCTAGGAAGCAGGTACTAATATTGGCCCCATTTTACAAATGAGGAAACAGAGGTACAAAATGGTTAAATAATTTGCCTCAGAGCACATAGCAAGTAGACAGCAAACCTGGGATGCAAACCCGGAGTCTAATTTCTGAACCCAGAGCTATGTTAAGGGGCTTCCCCTGGCTTTTCCTTCCTACTAGAACACTGTTCACGCAATTACTTGCCTTGAAAATGCTTTCTCATCCTTTAGATTCACCTTAAGATCACCTCCTCCCCTGTATAGAGTGAGAGATGTTTTCCCTCTTGGTGCACAACCCTTTTATAGCATTTTCTCCTTAGTACTATAGTTATCCATCGATGCATCATTTTCCCCCACCCATCACTAAGGTCCTCTAGCACAGGAAACGTGTCCTATATTTATCCCTAATATCTAATATGATGTCTGACACACAGTAGGGACTCCAAAAATGCCTGTGGAATAAATGAATGAATGTTTCAGCATACAACCAGACACCTGTAAGGATATACAAGGTATCAAATTTAGATATAATTTTGCAGAAGTAATGTTCGTAAAAGTCAACAATGCCTTATCCAAACCCTTGGAGCCAGATGTGATTTGGCATTCAGAATTCTCCAGATTTTAAGAAAGCAACATATGGGGTGTATACCATGTCACCCAACACTCTCAGCACCTCCTGATCAAACATATTATATTTCAACAGTGAAATGTAGGAATGTTCACCCTGAGGAGGGTAAAGCTTATGAATTGCTTTAAATCAGTTTAGGTCAAGTTTTGCCACCAAATGAATTTGCTACGAAGTTGAAAAAACACTCCTGGTCTTCAGAGCTGTTTGGATTTGGGGGCTGTGACTAAGAAATTGTGGACTTTATATAAATTGCAGTTTGTGTCACTTTGGATGATTAATCTACCCTCTCTTGTCTAGAATATATGGCTTTAGTTAGTCACTTTGAGCCTTTAAAATAAGCAGATGAAGTTTAATTTAATGAACTAGCTTTCCAATTCAAGAGACAATTAATTGTTCCTTCCTTCAAGGACAAACTCTCATCTCCAAGACGGCAAAAGTGGAAGGGAATAGCTTCGGCATACCCAAGTGAGACCTTTCACCCAGCCCCTTTTCTCAAAGTGAAAATATGGCTGTTTGGGTCTGTACCATCTCCGTCTCTCTGTCTCTCTCTCTCTCTGTATGTGTGTGTGTGTGTCTTACCTCCCTTTCTCAACCAGAAAAATAAAACAGCTGTCCAAGAGGTCAAATATGGGCATGGGAGAAAACTACTCAGTCTCACGGGGGTGTCTTCTCTAAAGAAGCCATGACCTGACCCTCTGGTGGGTCCACCATCCCAGAGTTCATAAGACGAGCTCCATGCTGCCAATTAGGCACCATGCTGGCTCTGGCTGCGTTCATTTTTCTTGGGGCTCTCAGAACAGCTAAGAAGTTCTTGACTCAGAAGACCATTTAGTAAATCCTATAAAGGGTCATGTTTCTCTCTCTGCCCTCTAAGCTCCAAGGATAGCCTCACCCTCCAAATGGAGTTCACCATTTAGGGGCTGGGAAGAGTGTGGTGGTAAGGACACAGGGAAACGTTCACCCAGGGAAGGTGTCCACAGATTTGGCACGAATTTGCTTGGTCATCAATCACATCAGAGTCCTTAGTTTCCCAGGCTCATGAATGGGAGTGAAAGCTGGCAGCTAATGATAACTAAACGCCTGAAGATTCTCAGAGTAAGTGACTTAAAAGAGGAGAATTTTAAGAAAAGACTCCCATTACAGAATGTGTAAAACAGTGCAAATTCAATCTGTAGTGCTGAGCTCATTGACTGGACCAGACTGGAGCAAAACTACAGTCTCCTTCTTTCCTCGGGATCCCAACATCAATATCCCATGCCCTCTAAACTTCAATTCAGTTATTTTACTTCCCCATACAGGCCAAGTTAAACATCAGAGAGAAAATAGTTCTGTTGGGTGGAGAGCAGAGATTGGCAAAGTTTGACTGGCACTCTTACGTACCATGGAGGCCCTTAATTTTATTTTTAGAAAAAGCTTCTGTCACGTAAACTCAACACAGCCGTATCTGAAAATGTCTCTATTTTCACAAACACAGGAGTTTTTTTTTTCTTGGCTCACCAGGTGTTTTGTTTTCTTTTTTCTAGAGCTATAAAAAATTCTGTGCCATTCAAAGATGTAGATTCAGACAAATACAGTGTCTTCCCCGTAAGTATTAAGAGTAACCGAATGTTCACTAGATATTGCATCACTTCCTACAAATGTCTTTCCTTTAATAAGACAAGATTGAATTCCATTTTAATGTATTATTAATTTGATAATACACCATTTCAGGATTTTTATGGACTTTTTGGCATCTTAATAATACATGGAGCATCCACATGGATCTTAGGCCTAGACTCTCTGTTTCCTGAAGCCATTCCCAGCTGGAATTCTCCATGAGGATTTCGGTTATCTTGAAAACTGCTTTGAATTATTTTTGAAATTCCAAAACCTCCTTTAACTTACTGTTTTAAAGTGTATGTGTATGTGTGTGTTCGTGCGTGTGTGCACGTTTGATTTAGAGCAGTTAGGATGCTGGGATGTTCTCTCCGAAAGGAAACAAGCAAGTAACAGATGTCACAAACTCCTCAAAGTTGCTGGCACTGCAGATATTCCATGTGGGAATGGGGGAGACAAAAACATCGTTTGACATTATCATGGCCCTTGATTCTGTCAAATCAGGCAGGTCAAACATATAATAAATGTACACTAATTAACCAGTTTGGCTAGAGATTTTTTTAATTATCAGTAAAATGATTCATCGTTTGACCAAATAACCCAGTTATTTTGGAGCCTAAGAAGACTGATGATTAGTAGAGAAAGTTCAGGGAGTTAGATGGCCCTGCTGTTTGTGGAAGTGCATTTAGACACATATACGAACACACGTATGTGTGCGTGCACACAGATGTACAACATGCACTCATATAACCACACATATAAGTCCACCAATGCCCACATGCATACACATTCATGCACATAAACCTCCATACACCCACCTACAGGCAGAAACCCCAACATCACCTACACACACATATTTACATACACACACACTACTACCTGTTACTGGCCCTGGTACTATATTATGTTGCACCTCACACAGCATGTTTGATCATATTAATTTTAATTTTCTTTGTGATCTCTAGTGTTCCTAGACTGTGTGTGAATTAAGAACTGCAGATGTCAATACCCCCAGGCAGCTCTGATTGACCTTCATCGTGGGTAATATCAAGGCAGAACTAACCCTTCCTATGTGTGCTCTTCAATTTCAGACACTGCGGGGCTACCACTGGCGAGGGAGAGACTGTAATGACAGCAACGGGATGGCATACCCGGGCAGAAGGTAACTGTCTCTGCTGGTCACTGATTGGAAAATTACCTTCTGAAAAGGAGGCAGGAGGCATAATTCCTTCCCCCAGCCTAGGGGGAAGCCATGCTTACAGAGACGAAGGACCTCCATGTCTCAACTAAAGCAAAGCTCAGTGAAAAAAGAACAGCATTCATTCATTCATTCATTCATCCAAGAAATGTTCATTGAGCACCTACTAATTGCCAAGCACTCTGCATCAAGTTGGGCGGTAAACAAAATAGAAGTAAGTCTCCTCTTGTGGAGCTTACAGTCTAGTGGGAGAAACAAGCAAGCAAACGGGTTATTGTGGATGTTTATCCAGCCGCCTGCATGAGTTCTATGTGCAAGGCTGAGCCCAGAAATATCAGCCTCTCCCATCAGGAGTAAGAAGAGGGCTACTGTCAGTGGAGTACATGTCACATTTTAGTCCTGGGCTGATGTTCAGCCAATCACATCTCTGACTTCAAAAAATACATATGCCAACCTTCATCTTAGGTGAAGATGACAGCTGAGATGACAGTGCCAAAGCATTAAATTAACCAGATGTTCAGGGTTTAGAGGCATAATTTTAATGGCTCCACCTATCTAAATAAAGTAGACCACAGATTTGCTCATTTCGCTCATCAGCACCATTCTGCAACAATACAGTCCGTGGATAGAGTCAATCATGAAAAGATTGGATTTGGTCCACAGGTTCCAGCAAATATCCAAAACCAAGAGAATGGCAAAGAAGCCAAGCAGAGTGTGGGTGGCACTCTTCCTTGAAGAACCTGTTGTCTATCAAAGACATTTCGTGTAGCACTCATCCGTTCATTCATGAAGCTAGCATTCACTAAGTGACAAGTATATGTCAAAGACCAATGTCGATGTTTTCTTCTTAGGCCAGACAACTGGGATATACATCAGGATTCCAACTGTAACGGCATTTGGGTAAGCAACTACATTCAATTGAAGCCTGTGCTCTTAGTTTACACCCTTCTTAAAAGCCCACCGCCTATTTGCTTTAGTCAGACCTAAGGAAGAAGATGACAGACCAAAGCAACTCTTTTTCTGCTGTTTATAAGAGGGGTATAGAATTCTGATCACACATGAAGAGTGTCAATGACATAATGAGAGTTGAGGCTTTCTCTGTCACAGCCCCTTTAAGCCTTGCTTAAGGTCACCCACATGTAATCCCTTTATTCTGTTTTGAACAGTGTGAAATTAAACAGAGAGTGGTGTTAGCAAAGTTTTACAGCAACCCAAACAGCTGTTGGGGCCAGCCATGTGCTGTCATTATTTCACTGCAGCCATTTTTTCCCTGTTTCATAAGGTTAGTTAGGCAGAGTGGAATTACCCTGTGGTTACCCCACTACCTACACCTCAAGGCATCCAATGCTGGTGCCCTGGTTCCCTCTGAATACTGGATTTGCAGCTTCCAGGTAGAGAAAAGGAAAGGAAAGAGGAAAGCCAACCAACTGCTTATCTGAGGACAGCAATGGCAGCAGACCCAAGTTGTGTGGGGTCTTGAGCTTATATGATTTGAAGGGTCCTCACGAAGAAACAGAATACCAAATTACAAGTACAAAATCAAGTATGAAAGTAAATAATTAATTAGAACAATAAAAGAAATCCTAACAAATTACTGGAGACTTAGAAATTCAGGTCCCTTTCTTTTGAGGTCTCTTTTCTGATTTTCCAAGAGTGCTTACGTGGAAACATGTCCCAGGTGCAACCAGGCTTCTCCTCTCCACCTGGAATACTCTGTAGCTCCCAGCCTCTCCCAGCACTCACACAAATAAAGACTGAGCAAACGAGGATCCCTGAAGTTTAGGATTCCTCAGCTTCAAAATAAATTGCCTCTGGATAGTTGCCTCATTTATCTTCTTGGATGAAAAGGAGAAAGTTTCCATAAATATTTCCCTCTCTCCAGGACACTGATGGTCCATGGCTTCTTGGATGTGGGGAGCAGGACAAATTGTACCTCAGTCCATCTCATCCAGTTTATCATCAGTCACGCTGCCTTTTCATGAGGAGGAGAGGACATCTCCCCTAGATCTTATGGTGTCAAGACCACCAAGGCGGGTCTTGTTCTGATAAATTCAAGCTTAGTTGTCATGTTGGAGGACAAAGGGTGTTGAGCAATGTGTGAGGCTGCTGTCTTTGTTCCATGGCCCCATCCCTGCCTCTCACGTGATATGCCACCCCACATGAGGAAGGCCAATAAGAGACTGTGCTAGACCAATGGAAATCCACCAGGAGCTCAGGGAGCCAAGACCCAGTGCATCATCAGTAACGACAGAAAGGCACATGACCTTCATACCTATCCCCTTCCACAGAGGAAAAATGACTCACAGAATCACAAAATCATAAACTCAGAAGGGACTTTATAATCATCAAGTCCAATGTTTCCCAAACTGGGTCCACAGAAACCCAGTGTTGAGTGTGAGGTGAATAGGTATGGGGGGAGGGGTTCTATAGTCAAGTTTAGGGAGCACTCGGTCAATAAACCTGAACAGTTTTCTTTACTTCTGGATTTCTCAGCATCTTTAATGTTTTAGTGTGCACTGGGAGCCCCGAGACCACGAGAGTGAACGCGTATATATACATGTATATATGTATATATTTTTTTAAAGCTTTCCCTTAAAGTTATCCAGACTCTGCTTGAACCTTCCAAGGACTGGTCACTAGACTAATGGGCAGCACTAACTTTAAGTGTTAGAAAGTCCCCTCAGCTGTGTTCACTCAGTCCAAATCACAGGCCCAACCTCACTTCCAGGGTTCTCAGTCTCAGCGTATTGACCTTTGGGTGGGATAATTCTTTACTGTTGGGCTGTCTTGTAAATTGTAGGATGTTCAGCAGCATCCCTGGCATCTACCCACTAGATACAAGTAGCTCCCCCTCCCTGTGTTGTAACAACCAACAACGTCTCCAGACATTGCCAAATATCCCTTGGGGTGGGGTTGGGGGCAAAATCAGCCCTGTTGAAAGTTGCTGCTCTAGAAGCATCATCCTTAGGCACTGGAGAGGTCAGGACACTTAGAGCTCCAGCTCAGAGCCTCCCGAACCCACTCTGACCTTGTGCCCAGTCACTGGGCCTGCAATGCTTCCTGGGAGTGTCCCTCGCAGCGCTCCTGCTCTGCAACCTTCTGAACAAGATAAACCAGTTTCTGGATCTCTCCCTATTCCTGCCCCCGTTCCTTAAAGCCCAACTCATTCACACAGAGTGTTGCTATGTTGGATTAAGGGCTCAAGAGACTTTAAAGGGTTCTATCTACTGATTTGCCTTTGTACTTTTAAAGCCATTTGGGAAGGATTTAGCATACGTGTCTCATAAATTTAACAATAAACTGCTAATGTTATCATTTCTCTTTTAAAGGGTGTTGATCCAAAAGATGGAATTCCATATGAGAAGAAATTCTGTGAAGGTATGAACTGGAAAAATCAATGTGCATATTACAACAGAATATTTTTTCTAGTCTGAGTCAAATTGAAGGGAACAGACCACCCAACTGAGGAAGTGCCTGATGCTACAACTTAAAGTTGACAATTTATATTTATTTTCATGACAAATCAGAAAAAGACATGAAAAAGACTATAGACAAAGGAGGCAGAATCTAGAAAAAGCAAAACTGAATTTAATTGACTCCTTTATTTGGGGATTGGAAACTTCAGCGATAATGTTAGAAAATGCTGCGGGATAGATAACAGGGTAGCTGAAATCCAGCACTTCTCCAAATAAGAAAACAAGGAGAGGTGACCATTTTTAATCTTCTTCATATCCTTCTCAACACACTACAAAGTCCGGCATCTGGGCTTACTGACAGAGTCCCCAGGTCAGCTGGGCTAGAGACTCATATCTGGGTGACTTGAGGGAGACCTCCAACCTATAGCCATTGGGAGTTCCCAAAAATAGCTGAGCGAAAACTGTGTATTCTAAATGCCCAAATGCCACAGACATCTGGGCTACCAGTAATGTTAGGAGAAACCTATTACCACCCACATCTTACTGAAAACACACTCCTGAGATGCCCAAAGAGTCTCAAACAAGACCCTATCACTGTTTTATATCTAGGCAATGCTTTTCCCTAACATTTAGAAGCATTTCATTCATTCATTCATTCAACAGATACTTCCTGAATGCCTATTCCTCCTATGCACCAAGGACTATACTTGTCTCTGAGTTTTCATGATGTGATTGCCCTCAATCAACTTAAAGTCTAATTTCTTTAAGCTCTCAAGGGGGCAGGAAGAGGGTAGAAAATGTAAAGACCCACCACATAGTTATGCAGTTTAGAAATGCTTGTTGGATGAATGAAAGAACGAACAAATAAACTAATGAATAAATTAACTCAGATCTAAGTGAAATACTGGTATGAGGCTCTGAGGTCACTGTGGGAAGCCTGTTGGATTCCCCATATCCCACTCCCTCCTTGATGCCCTGGGCCTTCTCAGTCCCTATGTCTGTGGCCAAGTGCTAGCTGTCACAGAGGTCCAAGATAAGGAGCCACTGGAGCGAGGCTGGGCCATCCTCCAGCATGATTTGCGGGGTTTGGAGGTACGAGAAGGAGGCTCCCCTCTCTGATTCTGGGAGGCATTGCTTGATTCTTCCAGGATCTTTAGGGATTTGGAAGAGCACATGCATCACCCAAGGATGAATGACTTGTGTAGATGGGCCGCAGAATCAGATTGACTCTTAACCTCCAAACATACAGGGCTGCACGGAGACCTTTCTTTCTCCATCTCCCCATTAATTAGCCAGAATTGTCCATCCAGTGCTTTTGCGTATATGGATTAAGAGCTTTAAAAGACCAAAACATCCTTGAAAAATCAAAATTGTTCCATGAGATCACTAATCTTGAAAGTGAATTGTAGCAGAAATTGGTGTGTTTTCCAAGAAAGCAATTTCCAGAACCAGAATTTAGGGCATATTTCTGAGTTCAGATAAACTTTTGATTCATGTATTCATCTGTCATTCACTCAGGATGTTGCAGGACAGTTTGCTTTATGCTGAGCTAGGAAACACACCTGCAACTGTATAGCTTAGCTAGCAGTTTCAATGGCCTAGAAATCTCATTCAGCTCCTAAATGCTATGCCCCTCACTCTCCAACACGCAAAAAAATGGCAATGCATCACTATTACGATGCTCTGTGCACAGAACCTCACACCAGGGTATACGCTCTCCTAACTATCCAATCTGGAGGCTCCAAACTACTTGAGTGCCTAAATAATGTGAATAAATTGTGCCACCTAGGTTCACAGCCCAGGGGAATCATTTTGCTGGGAGACTCAGCTGGGGCTCATTTTCACATCTCTCCTGAATGGATCACAGCTTCGCAGATGTCTTTGGTAAGTAATTTTGGCAGTAATCATCCCGGATGTGCTGGACTTTGTGTTTGTTCCCCCCTTGCTCTCTCTAAATGTGATGCCAACTCCAAACAGGTGCAAATTTCCCTCCTCAGCAAAATATGCCATAAAACGCACATCCACAGCCATTTCAGTTCAGTTCACTTCAAACAATGAGGTAAGAAATGTGAGGGCAACGCTACAGCACATTCCTAGCAAGAGCCATCTCGTCCATTAGAGAAGGGCGTGGTCCCCCTGCCCAGCAGAAAGGAAACCTTGGCACATGGGGAAGCCCTTGTCACAGGGCCACCTCTGCGTGTGGTTCCCTCTTCCCTCTCCTAGAAAAATGACACTCTAATCCAGAGAAATTAAACTACAGAAATTATAAATTCTCCCTTGACCTCTTCTTCTCAGACTAAAGAAATCAGACATGAACCTAAACTCTGAGGGAACCTCTCCCAAGTCACAAAACTGGGCAGACAAAGACCTCCCCTTGTAAGGATGAGCAAGCCAGGAAGCATCTGGAGACGTAGAAAATGCTCAGGATCTCAAAAAAAGAGTGCTCTTTTGACAAAAACTTGCCGTAGGAGAGTGACATTTTGTAAAATATAAAATTAACGATAATTGAGAGGAGATTGCACCCGTGAAAAAGGAACAATCTGAGATCCGGGAAGACTACTTTTAGGTGAAAGAACAATAATTACCTGATGTAAAAATGCAATGGCAATACTGACTAGCAGGTTGGACAATGCAAAAAACAAGATGAGCAAACCAGCTGTGGAAATTCCGGAACTCAGATGAGAGGCACGCAGGATAAGTGCTTTGAGATTGAATAGGAAACCCAGAAGACACATCAGGCAGAGAGGAAGTGATGACCAAATAAATAGGAAAAGATAATTTTCTTGACTTGAGGAAATTCTTGTCTTCAGTCCAAAACCCCCAATGAGCATCAAGCCAAAGTACAAAATACAGTCACGCATTGCTTAACGATGGAGATATATTCTGAGAAATGCATCGTTAGGAGATTTCATTGTTGTACAAACATCATAGAGTGTACTTACACAAACCTAGATGGTACAGCCTACTACACATCTAGGCTATGTGGTACTAATCTTATGGGAGCACCGTTGTATATGCGGTCTGTCGTTGACCCAAACGTCGTTATGCAGTGCATGGCGGTAGACTCTCTCCTCATCATGTCTCACCTTTTCTTTTTATTCCAAATGTAAAGAAACATCTTGCAATCCTTCTACCCAAGAAACAATCAGAATACATACTAGGATGAAAAATCCTTTTGGCATCAGACTTATCTCTCAACGCTAAATTTCAGAAAACAGTGGAACAGCCTCTACACCATTTTGAGGATTATGCGTCAAAAACGCTCTAACTGCCAAGATAGTGTTCTTACATGACGGTCACAGAAACTTATTCTCAGTCATTCAAAGATTCAGAAAACATCAGATACAAATGCCTTCCTGAAAAAAAATCATTTTAAGAAGTATTCCAGTCTCTCTGAGAGTGATATGATAAGAGGAAGGCGAAAAAACATTGTTACTAGATTCAAGTACATAAAATTGTCAAATGTACGCGATGTCAAAAAATTCATAAAATTAAAAGACAAATGAAAAATTTGAACAGTATTTATAATATGTAAGGCAAGATTTAACTTCTCTAATAACAGAGTTCCTGTATATCAATAAAAAACAATTTAATTTTTTAATGATCAAGAACAAGATAAATAAATATAAAAACAGTTCATCTTCAGTAGTAATCAAAGAAACACAAATTAAAACAACAATGCAATATCACTTATCATCTGTCAAATACACAAAGTTTAAAAAGTAATAAAGGTCCAATTTTAGCAAGAATATGGTGAAATGGACATGTTCATTCACCACCGATGAGAATTTAAGTTGATAGAATTTCTCCAAAAGGCAATTTGACAATATGTATAAAGTGACATGAAAATGTTTGTGATTTTAACCATTAATTTTGCATCTGGAAATTTACCTTTAAAACTGATCAGTCATTTGCTCAAGAATCTATGTACATGAGTATTCATCAAAGAGTTCTTTATAAGAGCAAAAATGAGAAAAGAAATTAAAAATCAGGGGCTGGCCCCGTAGCCAAGTGGTTAAGTTTGTGTGCTCTGCTTCAATGGCCCAGGGTTTCGCTGGTTCGAATCCTGGGCGCAGACACAGCACTGCTCATCAAGCCATGCTGAGGTGGCATCCCACATGCCACACTAGAAGGACCCACAACTGAAAATGCACAGCTATGTACTGGGGGGCTTTGGGGAGAAAAAGGAAAAGTAAAATTAAAAAGAAAAAGAAATTAAAAATCAAAAAGTGGGAGATTAGATATGTAAAAATATATTACATCCATAAAATGAAATATTATGCAACCATTAATACACATATTGTAGACCCATCTCTTAGCAAGAAAATATGTTTATAAAAATTTGTTAGGGGGCAAAAACAAGTTGCAAAATAGTATGTATGACCAGTTTTTGTGAAACGTGTCTCTGTGTGTGCAAACAAAGAAAATAATCAGAAAGTTGTAGATCAGTTATGTTAATACTAGTATCTTTGGGTGTAGAACTCTGGTAACTTTTTTCCTAATTTTTCTTCAATGAATTTGTATTATCTATCTACCAAATATCATAATACAAGATTTGGGGAATTTTTTTGTTGTTTTAAGCAAAAGCTAAGGAAACCAACCAAAGAAAACCAAAACATTGCTTTATTTAATCTTTGTAAAAGCCCTCTGAGGTAGGTATTGTTACAACCTAGCCTCAGTTTACAGACAAGGTACTCAGAGAGGTTAAGTAGACTGCCTAAGGTCACACAGCTAACAGGGGGCAGACTCACTTCCTATCAGTGTCATCTTGAACAAGCCACCTAACCAGAAACCCGGAAAGTGATGATAGGAAAAATCTCAGGCAAGATCATGTGCTTCGATGAGCTAAGGGCTGTGAAAGTGCTTTGGAACTGTATGCTGGATTCAAACCAGACAAAAGTAGATTGACACACAGCTCACAGAAGGCAGTGGTGGCAGTTAGCCAGGCTGGTCGATGTCCTTGTGCTTGTCCTTCCAATCCCACTCCAGGGCCTCTGGGGGCTGAGGTGAGGGGTGCCTCCCACTTTCAGGTTCTCCCTGAGAGGACAGCCTCTCACGTGCTCTCACTGGATCCGGCAGCTCACTCTGCATTGTGCTAAGTTTCTGCAGAAGAGAAAGACCCACAGAGAAGACCCATTAAAAAAATCACTCCCGAAAGCCCAGCAGTCAGCCCCAGCCTGCAGTCCTGACCACTGGAAGTTGGGTTGTAACAATTTTTATCTGCTATTTGCAACAATGAACTGATTGAAATACTGCAGATCAGTATTTGTTGGTTGGGTTTGGGTTATTTCCCACCCCACCCTTGTGACATTTTGGTGGTAAATAAGTAGTTTTGAGAAATGATGATGAGAATGGCAATAATGTAGGGCCAATGAGGAACTCAACTCGGCCATAATGGTAATTGGGATTTGTGGGTCTCAATACGTTAATAACGCTATTGATGGTAGGGGCAACACTGCAGTTTCTTTGTCATTTTATCATCTATTTCAAGCCTTTGATGTTCTAGGGTTCTTAAAATGTCTCTTCAGGTTAACATTCCCCTGTAAGATAAACATTAGCCCAGTCACTCTAAGCCTCGGCCACTTCTGTGGGATCCCATTTGATAAGAATGGAAGATGGGACAAGAAGAATAAAAAAAGAGAGATTTTGCTTCAAAAGTTGACATTGAAAATCAAGCTTTACCACCAAGTTATTGTCAAAATAATGCTGTACAAACCACCTCATATCTCAGTGACTTAAAACAATCATCATTTCTTCTCACTCACACATTTGTGGGTTGTCTGAGGTCAGCTGTTCTAGGCTGGGCTCTGTTGGTCTTAGCTCCAAGCTGAAGGTTGGGTCCGGGTCTGCTCCATGTGTCTCCTTTTTCTTGGTTGGACAATCTATCCAGAGCGTGTTTTTTTCATGGTTATGGGGGAAGTACAAGGCGGCAAGGCCCCAATACAAACACATTTGCTGCATCATGTCCACCATCCAACCCATCAGCCAAAGCAAGTCAAATAGCCGTGCCCAAGATCAATGGGGAAGTATACGTGTGGAAACTGAGCAAGGGAAGAGAGTGAATATTCTCTGTATTGCTTTTAATTAATTATAAATGTTAAATATGCACTGGAGACAAATAAGGAAATACAGAAATTATTAGGAAATTGTTAAAATTCCCTTTAATACTACCATCCAGAAAGAATCATTTTAACATTTTGGAGTATCAGATTGGTTTTGAAATATTCTTTTAATATTATTCTTATTGAAGAAAAAGAAGATATAAAGTCAATATTAGAACTGCTTTTGAGGATTAAAAAAAATCACCCCATCATCTTAAATTTTCTCAATATTTTTCCACTCTTTCTAGCACTCCACACTCCCATGCACATTCACACACACACACACACACACATTATGTAGTCACAAGAACAGCAAGTATGCAATTGGCAATTCTCCTTTTTTTCAATTAATACTAATCATAATCATTTTTGCACATTGCTACTTAGTCTTTATAACTCATTATATTTGTCAATGTTCCATAGTATCTTTTTCAATATATGAGCCATAATCTATTAAACCATTCACCCATGACTGGATATTAAGCTGATTCATGATTTCATTTTTTGGCTATTATGGATCATGTTCCTTTTAAAAAGAAACCCAATTTTTAAAACTTATTATCTACAGACTCTCCTCATTTGCACAGGGAGTCAGCCTAGGTATGCGCACCATGCCTAACAGACATCCATGAGCTACGCTGAGCTCAGATGTCTCGTGTTTTGATTGTTTGGCTTTTAGTAATTGTGGCAAGTGTAAACAAAATATCACCAAATACTGACCTGGGACCTACAGTGTGCCAAGCCCTGTGACAGGGGCTAATGATACAGGGGTGAAGAAGATGGAAAGAAGCCAGGTCCCCAGAGAGCTTCAGGGCTAGTGGGGAAATGCAGACAGGCAACAGGCAATTTCAGAGCAAGAGCTGTTGTGATGCTCACATGCTTCCCAAACTGGAGGGAAGAAGGAGTTGGAGGCAGTCCGGCCCTAGCAGACCTAGGAAAGGGTGTCCTAGGCGCAAAAAGAACACGTGCAAAGGATCACAGTGAGAGGGCTCAGCATTCTGAGAAGAAGTTTACTGTGGCTGAACCAACGTTCACCGAGCACCAGGCGTAGAAGTAAGAGAAGGGACTAGAGATGAGCATAGGAGCCGGATCTCAAGGAAACTTGAAGCCACATTCGAGAATTAGGAGTTTAATCTGAAGGCAACAGGAAGCCATTGAAGGCTGTTAAACTGAGAAATAGCAGCAGTCAGATTTTGATTTTAGAAAAATCACTCTGGTTTCAATAGGCAGGATGGATTAGATGGAGGAACAGCAGTCAAGAAGATCAGCTTGTCATCATTAGAGTAAAAGCGTTCTAAGCTAGAAGGGTACAGTGAGGAAGAATGAAATGGAGAAACTCCGAAGTTTTCTGGAATCAACAGTGGACATGTATTTTTCTCACAACCTTCCCCCCACATGGACTTTATGTCCACTTCCTGAAGAAACTACCCTCTCCAGCTGGATGTCCCACCAGGCTGGGGTTGACCTAGGGCTGTTCCCAGGCATCCTCGCATCTGGGAGCCAGCCTGGACTTCATCTCCCCAGTGCAGATGTTCCCTGCAAGGTCTAAGCCAGCCTTTGAAAACTCGACTGGAAGAGTCTGCCCCCCAATAAACTTCTGGTGCTTCTGATCCCTCTGCACCATACCCTCAACCCCCAATGGTTACAGTGAACTTACAACCTATTGTCCAAACTTGAGATAAGAGGGATCACTACTGATAATTATGTGAGGACAATATGTGTTAACCTAGACTGGCCTATACAAACTGGTATGTATAGTCACCCAACTGATAGCATAAGAGCCATGTATGAAACTGACACCGTGAGTCAAGAGCATTGCCCAGAGAGGAATTTTAAGCCATCTCTATATAAAATAAATCTTGGACTTTGAATCAGACAGACCTGGGTTCAAATCCTGACTTATCCACTTACATTTACTTATCCTCTCTGAGCTGTAATTTCCCCATCTATAGAATATAAATAATGATAGCCATCTCATCAGAAATTTGGGATGATTTTATAACAGGATATTAAAAATTGGACTATTTATTTCTACCTAAGTTTCAGCTGAGGCTCCAAGACATTTAGGCCAACTATTCCCACCTTCCACAGTCAAATATTAGAAGGACCAAGCAGGACCTGCAAAAGAAGGGAGTGAAAATCATTTCTGCAACCTGTAGCTGAACTCCCACCTCAAAGGTCTAAAAGAGTTGAGGCCAGGAATGTCTGGTGTCAGTATGGCAGCGGGGCTCGCCTGGATAGGTGTCTCCAGAGATTGGGGTCAAAAGGGCTGGTGTGTGACACTCTTGTGAGTAATATAAGAGTGGTGAGGCAGCAGGACAGAAAGAGTATGTGTCCTGGGGCAAGGACATGAATCCCAAAAAGGGAAAGCCATTCTGGACCACTGAAAACCCTGGAGAGGACTGCCTGGAAGGTGACCTCAACGTGGGAGTTAACCTCCACATGACCAGAGGCTGGAGCATGAAACTTAAATGACTATAGGGGGCGTGAAGAGAATGCACCAACTCTGCCATTGGAGGTTAGTCAAATGTTCCCAGCAGGGCCTCTCAAGAGCCCCACAAAAACCCCCAATATAGAGAGATCCAGCCTTGGACACCTGCCCAGCCAGAAGATCACACCTGATTATATCTCTTCTCCCTCCACTCACCACTCCCAGAGATCAGAAGCCTCCATCATGAATTATTTATTAACTCACTTGAAAATAACAATAGGAAGCACATTGACATAAATAACATTTTAATGATAACTTTAGTTTACAAAACAAAAAAATTAAGTTAGAAGAATGGCCTTTTTTTCCATTTTTGTGATTCTCCTTGATGTCTGACTAGAAGAGAGCTGGATCCCCATATCTGCTTCTGCCTTCAATCTGTTTCAATATCCACGTATGGGGCCTCTTGAAAACTCCATTGTACTCTCATGAGTGAATAAAAATGAAAAGGGTAGATCAAGTCTTAGTATTATGATGAAAATAGTGATCTCATGAGCCCTCTGTGAGGATCTCAAAGATTCCAGGGGTCCCCAGACCATACTTTGAGAATCACTGTCATAGAGTTTTCCCACTGCCTCTGACGTCCAAACTTTGAGGATTTACAAAAGAAAGAAGTGGTTGTAGGGTACTGCAGTGTAGTTTTCAAAATTCTTCAAATCTATAAATGCCAGAAAAGATGTACTCTAAGATAGACCGTTTTAGGGAAAATTGGGGAAGCCATCAGCATAGTGTGGACTAGTCTCTCAACTCACATATTTCTAGAGTATACTGGAATATGTGAGTTTCCCCAAGAGAGAGTCCATTGAGAATACTCTGATGATGTGAATGTCCTCAGTCCTCACTCTGCCCATAGGTTCAACTATTTGAGAGCCTTTTAGTGATGTCACCACAAAAGGAAATGAGCCTCCAACCTTCTGGCTAATTCAGCAGGTGGAACTCTTTTAAACTAGGTTCCTAGTCAGTATCAAAGTTAACATTTAGCAGGGAGGAGTCAGGAAAATAAAAGCATTCCAACAGCGGGGATTTAACATAGGGAATTGGTTGCATTCGTGTTGGATTTAATACGTGGAACTGATGACATTGGTATTGGAACAAAAAGTGGTGGCTGAAGTCATCAAAGATTAATCATCACAAGAAGCAGCTACTGACTCCAGGGCTCCAGAACAAAAAGGAAGACGAGGTATTAGCAGAAGCTAGAGAACGCGGTGCAGCTGGTGCTCTGACCTCAGCACAGCATGTTCTCTGACTGCCAAGACCACCTGCTACTGGGACCACTGAAGGGTGCAGAGATGAGCTGGTAGTACCAAAGGAGGCCGGAAGCTGCTGCGAGACGCTGACCTAAGCTGGAACCCAGCATATAGTTCCTCCTCTCCTCCTGCTGTTTCCCCATCGCGCTCCTACGCCGCCCCTTGGCCGGGAGACGCAGAGGAGTCTGGGAAGTGTAGTTCGCAGCCTCCACCCTGAGCAGAGAATAGAGGAATGGCCTTGGAGCCCAGAGGCACAAGCCGCTGGAACCCTTTCAGACCAAGTCTGGAATCAGTCCAAGGCAGCACTGGGTACCAGAAAGCGGGGATGTCCGAGGGGCTTGAAGAGCAGCAGAAATCATGCGGTGGCTCCAGGCTGGGTGAGTGGCGGGAAGCTGGGGGAGCTGTCAGAGGCCGGCGCTGATTACTCTGACTTGAGGCCCCGCGGAATCTGAGGCCTCGTTGGTCGTCAGCATGGCCTCGGCCATTAGAACCTCATTTCTTTACGTCCTTATTACCCTGGGACCTACCTCACCCCCGCAGGCGCCTATTGGCTACGGTTCACCAAATGCCACGTTATTCCCTCAACTGCCTTAAGGAATCCTTCCCAAAATGACCAGCAGATGGCGCAGAACCAGAAAACCGTCTTCAAAAAGGAAACCGCGTGCGACCTTTCTCTGACTTGTTGAGCAGACAGAGGTTCAGAATTTGGATTCTGTGGCACTGGCTTTGAAACTAGAGAGTAACCAATGGCCACTGGCGCCTGACCCTACCCTGTATCCCTCCGCGAAATCATGTTCCAACAAAAGGAACCATAGTGAGACCACCTATTCCAGAGTGAACATTCAACTGCTGCCTCGCTAGGGGTGTGACAGTGGTAATGCGTGTTATGAACCAAGACCCTTCAGGACCCCCCAGCGTGTTTGGTGCTGTTCCTTTGCTGCACCAAGATCATATTGACAGTAAGTACTGTAAGAAAAACAAGTATTTATTGTAGGCCATTCTGCCCCTTACAAGACCACTCAACGTTTCTTTGCCTTTGTCCCCCTGTAAAGCAAACACTCCTGCAGGTACACCACCCCATCCCAGCTGTGCCCATCTTGAAGGAGTCCACAGTCTTGGGTATCTTTCTTGCAGCTGCCCCTTCCTCTCCTGTTCATGCCATCATCTGGTAAGGCAGTGGTAAGGCAGTGTGGCACCCGAGAGGCTTGTTTACAGCTAATTAGATTAGGAGTGTATTCATCTAGAAAGATATTTGTAGTTCCATAAAGAAAGTGTGAAGAATCACCCTCGTGGTTCCGCAGAAACAAAGGGTTCTGAACCTCATTCCTTGGGGCAGAAAGATGTCTCTGCCCTCTCCCTCCTTAACCTTCGCTTCTCTCCAGGACATCCTTGGTGGTCAGGTTCAAAATGAGCTTCCTATGTCACATGAAAGACCTCAACTTAGAAAGATTTCAAAGAAAGACAAAGAGCAAATCTGAAAACACTTTCATGCTGTCTGATTTTTTTTTCGTTCAAAAGAAAGACAATCACTGCTTGAGATGTTTTGTTGAGAAAGAAAGGAAGGCAGAGAGATCATCAAGGCCAGCAATAAATGCTGCCCTCCTGCCTCTTCCCCCATCTGTTTAGAAATTATTTCCAAAATATTAAATGCTGCATTTCACTGAACCAGAATTGCATGACAGGTTGGAGATGGAGGGGATAAAGGGAGAAGCAACTCTGAAATATAATTTCCCAAATGTTTATTTTGCTAGTGAAGACTGTTGCATGTACTATTATAAAATCTTAGCACGACCCATGGCAGGCTGTTGTCTGTAGGGTGAGGAGGCGCAGATTGAATTTCCTGCTGTGTCAAGGACAAAATGAATCCTTAATCTGGCTGCAGAAAATGCACATTCACCTGAGAGTTGAGTGGCTGCAGTCTTTCAAACCTGCATGTGCTTCATCCCTCTCTTTGAAGTGGTTTTGTAGATCAGATTTGTCTACTCTCTGTTAGCCCACAGACGGTATCCAAGCTCTCACTCTGCCTCTCGCTACCCCGCCCTGCTCTGCACTCTCCAGATTTATCAGTGAGCAGAAAGCTTCCATTAAGCATAAAGGCTGCTTTTCATGGAGCATATAAAATACAGAAATTCTACCTCAGCTAATTTCATGTCAACTCCAGAAATTGTTAAGAGTTAGAGTACTTTATTATCATTTTTTAATATGAGGAAAGGCTGTTGCTTAGGAAAACTGGACAAAATTACATTTTCTGCTCCTCAAACATCTTGCAGGCTGGTAGATTAAAAATGCTAACCGGTGAAAAGAGAAGCCTCAATCCTGGTTCCTTCTCATTTATTCTGTCAGAAAAAGAGAGTTGTGTTCACCATGGTGAATTTTTTCTCCAACGGCAATCAGGCCACAAGAGACAGAATGTTCTTCTGGTCCCTTTCCCTGTTCATGAGCACAAGCCAGACGGGCTGTTGCCCAGAGTCCTGATCAATTCAATGCCCTTTTCTTCCTGCTCAAGGTGAGCATCTGGGTCTCTTACCTGCCAGCAAAGTAGGGTGCTCTTGCAAGCTCATTCTTCTGAAAACATCAGTGATCTTCGCCCTCACTGCCTTCTGCAAGAATTAAAAAGACAAACACTTTGTTATGAAAAACTACAAGAGAAAATTATTTTAAGCTCCATACTTCTGAAAGGCATTTATAATTACTCAGCCCACATGCCTGCTCTCGCAGCACATTAGATAGAGATTTCTGCATAGGGAGGCAGCGTGAGTCAGTAAACACCTGTGCAATCCAGTGTGCTGCTAAGACTGGAGTACAATCTCTTGCCCTCTGGATAATTATATCTACCACTTTGCTTCACTCTCCCTCAAGTTTCTCAGCCATAAAATGGGACTCATGGAATGAACTCATCACAGAGGAAACATTTAGAAGCCCAAATCACTTGGGATGTGGAAAGAGGAAACTTCTGGCATTTAAAAATAATTTTGGATGGTTGGAATTCATTGCTACACACCATTCATTCATTGGTTTATTCAAGTAATTCCCTCCATGCCACGCCTTGGGGGAATGAGTAAGACAGAGGTGGCCCAGCCCAGCCCTTGCCAAACACCTGGAGGTCAAGACTGGCTTCTGTATGATTTCCTGGGGATTCTACTCAAGGCAGTGGCTGGAGCGTTGGTCAGAGGTATGAGCTAAATAAATCCTAGAGGAAAATCAAAGGGAGCATTATGAGACACAAAGATTCCAGAGGAAGAAATTGAAGACAGCATCACCGAGCCAAGAATTTAAAGCCTAATTGATAAAGAACACAAAGGAAAGTAGATCAGGAAGGAGCAAAGAGGTCATGGTCTCATGTTGGTAGAATATTTGAGAGCCAGCAAGAAGGGTGGATGGGTCAGCCCTTCTTAAAAGACTGGTGATTAATCAAGCAGTGTATCAGCTCAGCTGCTCTAACAAAGAATCTCAAAATTCAGTGACTTAAGATGGAAATGTATTTTCCTCTCATATAATAATCCAGAGGGAGGTAGGCCAGGACTGATGGGACATTTAGAGCATCCTCAACAAGCAGCTTCAATCTCTAGGTCCAAGGTGGCTGCTCCCACTCTTGCCACCTCCCATCTGTATAAAATAAAAAGGGCCAAGTGAAGGCACACACATCCCTCGGGGGAACTTGACACAGAAGTGGCATACATCATGCTCTCACACACCCCATCGTCCAGAACCTAGTCACATGGCCGCGCCAGGCTGCAGGAGAGGCTGGGAAGTGCAGCCCCTGGCTAGGCAGCATGTGCCCAACTGACACCGGGGGACTTCTCCCATTAAAGAGAGAGAAATAGTTAAGAGTGGACAACTGGACCTCTAAATGTGAAGAGCAGTCTCTAACCTCAAGAAGCTTTAAGTTTAGTTGGGAAGACAGATAGGTAAACTCACAATTATAATAATAACATTAAGTAAATATTATCATGTGTTTACCAAATTCCAGGTATTGTACTCAGTATTATCTCATTTAATACTGAAGTGACCCTATTATTATGTGTATTTTAGAAAGAAATGCAGACTTAGAGAGGTTAGCTAGCTTACCCAAGATAATGCGTTTAAACATGGAGCCCAGATACAAGCTGAGTCTGTCAGACCCTACAGCAAAAGTCAGCAAACTATGGCCCTTGGGTCAAATGTGGCCCTCCACCTGTTTTTGTAAATAAAGTTTTAATGGAACACAGTATGCCCACTCATTTACACATTGTCAATGGCTGCTTCTCCAGTACAACAGCAGAACTGCATAGACACAACAGAGACCAAATGGCCTGCAAAGCCAACAAATTTACTGTCTGGCCCTTTGCAGAGAATGTTTGCCTGCTCTGCCCTCGTGCTGACATGTTAGGTGCAATTAGCTAAGCTTGCACAAGGTGTGTGGAAAGCCGGAGGAGAGCACCTCACGGGAGAAGGCCAGGGCAGTCAAGGAAGTCAGAGTGAGCTGACGTTTGACTAAGGAATAGCGATCAGTAAGGACAGTGGAGTAGGAGGAAGAGCTTGTGATAAGGCCTGGAGATGTGAGGGGCCTGCAGATGGCTGAGTGGGGTGGGAGAGGTGGGGCTATGAGAAAAGGCTGGGGCAGAGGGTGGTGCCATGTAGAGGATGTCACTGAATAGCTACAGTAGCCTAGAGAGCAGTTTTTCCCAAACCTGACCAGTCACTGCAGCCATTTAAGGCACTTATAAGAATAAGGGCTCTAGGACCCCACCACAAACCTACCCAAACAGGATCCATATTTTAAAGAAGCTCCCATGAGGTTCTGGGACACATTGCTGAAGACAGTAGGGGGAGAGAGAGGAGGCAGGGACCCTGGCCAGAGGCTGCGGCAGTCACCCAAGGCCATCGTCTGTGCAAGTTGCAAGAATTGATGTAGTGAGGTTTTATGACAGCTTCTTGGTAGAAGATGAAAGAGGGGAGAGGAAGAAAATGAGATTATTTTTCCTGAGCGAGATAATGGGGAGGGAAAGCCCAGTTCAGGCCTGGTCATTAGGTGCCCCTGTGACGGCTGCCCCTGTTCTCACGTCTGTAGCTTGACTGTGGACTTTCAGCTTCTTCAAGTCTAACGCTGGATAATACCCCTCAAAAAAGGAAAACTACCCCAACCCTGGACAAATGGCAGCCTGGCTGCTTCAGAAATGACCCAACTTTCACAAAATCAAATGAAGGTGCCCAAAGAGTGGACATCTATGATATATACCCCTGGTTGCCTGACTCAGGCCCTTAGAGAAGTTATTTTTTCTGTTTGTGAAAGAATTTGTTTCACTGGCCCCATGAAAGAATTGACCTGTGATTATCTTTGTGTAAGAGCAAGACATTTTAAACTCTTATTTTCTTACTTTTATGAATTTGGATACAGTTCTCCGATCACTGTGGAAATAATGATAGAGAGAATTGAATTCCGTAGGAAAAGTCTCACTGCACAAGGCGTTTTCGTTTGGTACGGGGCAGTTAGATAAACGCATCCCTTGACTCACTCATTGAATAAATAAATCATTTGGTGAGAGCTTAGATAATAAATAATAGACAAGGGGAAAGGAAGAGACTAAAAGGAGCTGACAAGGTAAAAAAAATAAAAGTAAAAAGAGCTATATTCAGGCCAAATGATGAAAGATTGTTGCCTGCTATTCTGTTCTCTTTATATTTAGTGGTCATATTTTGCTAGAATTCTTTATTTGACTACTTCTTCACCACCCCATAAGTTTTTGGATGGCATAGGGTCAAAGATGAAATGCTGTACCTTTTCCCTGAAAATTACTTATTTAGCTCAAGCTTAAGTTTAAATGTGCATCGAATGGGCGTCAGCCAAGGAGCTGAGCAGTTATTGTTACTGGGCTGCTTGTACATAGTATGTTTTAAGCTGCTGAATTTGGGGGTAATTTCTTACATAGCAATAGATAACTGGCATACTTGCTGTTTGAGGTCTTGTTTCGGGGGGAGTTTGTTGGTCTTCCTTGTACATAATATGATGAAGTTGGCCTTGGGGTTTTGAAAATGACATTGCCAATGCTTAAACTCTTTTTCCCCTGCCCTTCTTTGCCTGGCTCCCTCTTACTAACTTTACAGGACCACATTGGATAACATTTCTTTCAAAATTCCTTACCTGAACCCCCATATGTGGGAGAGGTGTCCTTTCTCTTACCCTGGACTTCCCTGTCAATACCACTAACAGGTAACTTTCATTGAGCACTTACAACTCTAAACTTTAGACGTGGATTATCTTTTTTAATCCTCTCAACCACCCAATGAGATAGGGGCTGTAATGAGTCCATTTTATAGATTTAAAAAACTGAGACACAGAAGAGTTAAGGAAAGTCTTCAAGGTCACCCAGCTGGGAAGCGTGTGTTTTCTGTGTCCTGCTAGACTGTGAAAGTCCTTCCACAAAGAAGCAACTCACTATACAATAGTACGATGACCAACAGAGTGCCCAGCACAGGCTGGCACTTGATGTGTTTCTTTCTCTCTCTCTTTCTCTCTCTGTCTCTTTCTCTTTCTCTCTTTCTGTCTCTCCTTGTCTCTCTGTCTCTCTGTTTCTCTGTCTCTGTGTGTGTGTTTGTGTGTTTAATGAATTATAGGACCACAGAGACTTCAATAGGAGCCTCATCCCACTGCACATGGGACTCTAAAGTTCACTAATGAAACTCAGACTTAAATTACACTCTTGAAGTTGTATATATCAAAGCATAAGCTTGTGCAAACAGCACTGCCTGATTTGGTTAAGCCTGAGATTACAGAGGCAGAAACTACATGGTACATTCTCTCCCCATTCTCCCGGAACTTCATCTGCGAGGCCCTACTGGAAGATGAACCTCCAGATCAGCAGTGTGCGTTGTTCTCTGTGGCTGCCTTTCCCCAGCATATGTCTGCCAGAACAGGCCCTGGGAATATGTGAGGGGGGTGTGGACAGAGATGTCTGTGTAGGGTCACAGATTGTTTCAGTAGTTATCCCAAAAATACTCATTTTGCACTCTTCATAAATTATGCATGGCTTCCATATAAGAGAAACAGAGGAGAAAAAGATAGTGGCAACTCCTGGGTTATCTGTGGATTTCTGAACTTTTTACCTAAAGCTGTGTCTGAGAGACCATTTTCTCAGCAGGTAACCAGGAAGCCTCATTTTCAATGACTGGCAAACCCAGCTTAGCCAATTTTGTGAGACTTAGAAGCTTCAGGGAAAAGCAAGGACCAGATACAAATGGGCTATTAAAAGCTGAGGTTCTTGAGAATCTCTGCCTGCTCCAAGCCTCTCCCTTCCTAGTTCCACGAGACCCTGTGTTCAAATCCCAGAGCCATTGTTTACCAGCTCTGTGACCTTGGCAAGTTGTCCAAACTCCCTCTGAGTTCTGTTCACCATGGTTTTCCTGGGCCCCACACTGTCCAAGGCAAGGGGTTCTTCCACCAAGAGAAAATACGTAAACCTCCCCAGACCAGAACCATTGACAGTATGTGCCATCATAAAAGGGGCTTTTTCAATATCCATCATTAGGTTGAGGCGTGCTCATATATGTACTGCTGTTCGTCTGAGGCCTGGGTATTTGTTCTTTTTTAAGAGTAATATCCACATCTGATATATGGTAGTTG